TGAGTGGCTTCTCTGTGGGTGCCCGGAGTGAGAGAGAAAAGAAAGGATTAAGAAGTAATTAAAGGATAGAGAGAACCGTAAATAAGGAAGAAAGGAAAAGACTGTGAGGAATATTGCTGATGGGTTTTAAATTTGAATTTGGGCAGTCACTTCTTTTACACACTCGGGGGGAGGAAGCAGTTGGAGGGAGCCTTGGTTGCTGTTATGCTTTCAAATTATAATCTGAGTGCTGCCTTGATTATACACCATTCTGATTGCTGTGGCCTAGTGATTAGAGCATAAAACTTGGAAACAAAAAAATATGCTGCTTTTCATGACTGTAAGGGACTTGCTGGGTGGTTTTGAATGAGTTATTTCGCTTCACTGTGCCTCATTTTCCTGATCTGCAAAATAGGGATATTAATGCCTATTTTTGTGAAGGCAGTCTGAGAAACTTAAATGGAAACTTCTGTATAAATGTCAAGTATCATTATTATTGTTCTTAAACTAATCCATTGTAGTGAACTGCTTTTATAGTTTTTATGAAAGCAAATACAATGGGAGCTACATAATTGGCTGCCTAACAATGTTGTTTTAATTAGAAGAAGACAAAAAGTGTCTGAAAAATGCAGCAGTGGGTTGCCTTTCTATCATCAATTGCAATAAAACTTTCTGCTAGAACTGAACCATACCATACCAGGTAATAAAGTTACTCTGAAGTATATGTGACACAACGATCAGAAGTAAGAGGCTCCAATAATTTTCGTTACACGTTTGGTACACTATTTGCCTGGCACACTCAAAGATTTACAGTTATTGTTGAGCAAGTAAGCGTAAGGGTAAAAACGTGGAAAATGTACGTGTTTACTTCTTTGCCAGCATCTGAAAGATGAAATTTCCTCAGGTTGTGACTTTAATATCCTAATTTTCAGCTGAATAGTTTGCAACGTCTGGCTTATACACCTTTAGAAACGGACAGTATAACGAACACTGACACTCCCTCTCCTTGGTGAGGTGGATATGACCCATCTTTTAATACGACACTGTTAGAACAAGGTAACGGAACTAGGCTGGGAAAACCTGAGTCCCGTGACTCTTCCCATTTGCCTAAATTCTGCTTCTCTGACAGGTATTCCCGCCTCTGCCAGCTCTTCCTGAGGGTGGATAGTCCCCGTCATTCCGCCACATGCAGAAGGCTTTATCAGGAGCGGGATGCTGTATGGCAGGATGCTCTTAATCGAGGATGCTGATTATACTAGTAAAATTGAATGTTTGCCGGTCCAGTGTATTCCTCTTCTCCTGAATTTGTCCTGACAGGAACAGGATTTTGCTGGCATAACAGTGTTTATTTTGTGATGGAGGAAGGGGAATGTTGTTTTTTTTTAAAGCCAGAGCAATGTTGGTCATAGGTAATGTGTCTTCATACATTTAAGTGATTTGGCAAAAGTCTGTTACGTAGTCTTGGCCCTAACATGACCCCAGAGTGAGTAACTTGTGACCTGTCTGTCCTCATCAGCATCAGTACTGCTGCCTTCTAGGACAGCCCAATCAAGATAATTTTATGGTTGCTGTAGGAGGACTCAGTATCTGTGAGCCAGGCTGAGTGGAGCAGTCCCAGCTGCTCGTTTTCAGTCCCCGGTGACTGCATTGCAACGACTGCCTCTCTTCCAAGCACTTTCCACCACCAGGCAGCATAAGCCCATTTTCTGCAGGCTCATCTGCAGCCAGCTCCTCCTGGTCTGTGAGCTGGTTCCCTCTGAAGCCAAGGCTGTTCAGGGACAGGTACTGCATTATATGCTGAGCGAGATGGGTAGAGCGATGTGACATCTGAGTGCTGATGGCTCTGTAAGATGATGCACATAGTGCCGGTACTAAAATAATTACACCATAGCATGAAAAGTCTCAAATCTGTTTCCTGGGAAGCCAGGTCCATTCAAAAGAAAAGTTTTAATGACACTTCAGCAATGTATAGGCCTTTAAATAAAGATACCGTTTCACAAAATAATTAAGAGCCAGTTTGGAATGGGGCTTTTTGTCTGTCGGTTTGTTGCCCCTTTTTTTTTTTAAAATTGTTACACTTTTGGGGATATTGTGAGGACTGCTTTTGTCTTGCTTGGTCAGAGTCTGACCGTTGTTTGTACCAGGTGTAGTGAATGCATTACGACTGTGGGAGAGGGCAAACAATTCATTTTTCCAAAACAAACCTAACATGTTGGATCTTTAGATTTTACCTTTTTACCCTGATAGTGAAAAAAAATCACACTAAAGAGATGAAATCAATATGATTTTTTTACTTTAAAGAAAAATCTAGTGTTGGATTTGTATTCTGGCTGTGAATGGTTAACATAAAACATTCTCCTTGGGAATATTGCACTGCTCATCCTCTCAGTGAAGCTAAGAGGAATTTTTTACGTGTGACAGCGCTGGGAAGCAAGACTCTTTTTCAGGATAAGCACAAAAAAATTCTAGCAGGTACTGCTCTTCAGAAAACACTGGTAAGAAAAATGCTGAAAAACATTCCTCTAGTTACACTGTTAGGTAAGTTTTATTTTCTTTCTCAGTAAGAACAGTGAGTGTACATACACAAAAAACACGCCTTGCTCTACCATTATTCTGAATTGCTAGTTGCAAATGAGATTTTTCCTGTCTACTCTTGCGCTCCTTAATATGCCTTTTTCACATGTAAGAAACGGATAAACAGATTCAATTTTTAAGCAAGTAGTCTCATTGCAATTCCACATGAGCAGAGAGAAGATGAGGTGAAAATGCAGGCAGTGGAACAAAGGAGCCACATGAAACTCTTCACCTCAAAGAGCTCAGCAGACACACATGAAAATGAGCTGACTGAACCTCAGTCCTGTGTCTCGTGGGTTCATCTTCGGGGAAATGAGATCCACTGTGTTTTTTCTGATGGCAGCACAAGATGCTTCCTCATGCTTCTTTACTGGCCACTTGGGGTGGATGGCCAAATTTTGCTTTGCCATGACAAAACCCAGTTGGACAGCTTTCTCCCAGAACAGATTAAAGTGAATGTAGAGCGAGACAATGGGTAAACTATGATGTAAAGTTTATATACAAGAATATAACATTTATCTGGAGTATTTACAAGGTTAATTAAAGCAATATTTTACAACTCTTTCAGGTTAACCACTAGGTATATTACAGTTAGGCTACAGATGGTTTAATTTGCAAAATTAAAAAAATAATAATAAAATTGCATTCAGATCAACCAGCTCCAAAACCTGTTCTTTTTTTCTGAGAGAAGAGCTCAGACTTGTGGAAAATAAAATGTGAGAGTGGTGAATATACTTTTACTGGTGCCTATGTATCACATGCAAGAGTCATAACGTGACCTTGATAGAGTTAATATAGATGGCAAGCCGTTTCACCTTGGTGAAAGAGTCGTACCCACTGTGACAGGCCAGTCGCACGCATGGCTGTCTTTCTCTGCATCTCCTACTTTTGCACAACAAACATGCATGTATACAGAGAAGCAGCAATATAAATGAACCAGCATTACCAAAATGAAGAGGGAGAAACCTCAGACCAAAGCCATGTTTGCAACCATTAAAAAACCCCAAGCTTTAAGCGAGATACTTTAATACTTCCCAAAAATAGTCATGATTTTTTTTTTTTATTACATTTTAACCTATGTACAAAAATGGAGGGCTGCCTCCCCTCTCGGAGAGCGGCCACCGTGTCTCACGCCCGTGACATCTCGAGGCTCAGCGGGGCCGAAGCAAGAAGGTGCGGGAGGCCCGGAGAGCTCGGGACAGAGGCGGCTGCTGGAGGCGGCCGGAGCCGACGCCACTAACACTGCAGTTTGCGGATGCTGCGGGAGAACCGCTTGAAAGCCCGCTGCCCTTTCTGCCACCGCTTCAGCGAGGTGATCACCAGTTCACCAGCTTGCTTTTGCCCCATCACCAAGTAGGGGACGTTGATGTCGTTCATCTCGTCGCAGGTACACTGGAGGCCACCTTTGAGCCAGAGCACGATCTTCCTCAGATCCCTTTCCGTCAGCCCATTCAGCTTGTAGATGGTCTTGCTCTTTGTTTCGGGGGTGATCTTGGTATCCCCATTGATGTAGGCAATCTCCTTCACTTTTATCTTCAAGGCTAGCAGAGCGAGGGGAGGGGGGAGCGGTGAGAGGGAGAGAGATGGAGAGGTTTTTTCCCATTAGTGCACATAAAGAGGACCTGGGGAGGGAGGTGCTCTATTGCTAATTAAACTGTCAGGGCTGACAGAAGAGGCAGCAGGTGGCTCCATTTCTAAAGCCACAAAGGGCACGCAAGTCATTCCAGTTTGAATCAACCTTAGGGTGGACGTTTTTCGGGTTTCTTTTCTCCTCCGCCCCCTCCCCCTCTTTCCCCTGCCTTTCTAAATTGGCGTTTTCTCCAGCTTTTCTCCTGTTTGCAAACAGAGAGAGGGCAGGTTTGCTGTGTTAAGCAGAGCTGCGTTCTGTGCTGGCAGAGGACAGTCATCCTGGAAGTAGAGTTTGGAGGGGAGGTGGGGAGGCGAGTACCTACACCCAGTCGGAAACCTGATCTCTGCTGCCGCTGAAAACTTCTAAACTAAATTTATTAGGCTGGAGAGGATTTTAGACAAACCTGTAAGGAAATGATACTTCACATGCATTGTTTTTTTGAAAGAATAGATCCCATGGAGGGCAAATTGGTCCAACAGCTGCATTCGATTTGGTAAAATAACTAGGAGGGGGATAGAGGGCTCTGTAAGAATCTGTGGGGCATGTTTAGCTTTAGGAGGATTTATCTGAGTGCAATTTGCCAGGCCAAAGCTATTGGTTGCTTTAGCAATTAGGTCCCACAGTCATGGTTTCAGGTTTTGGTCCGATGGGCGTTTTGTTTGTTTGTTTGTTTGTTTTAAAGAAAGACTTTTGAATTGTAGCTATTTATACTACAAATCTGTTTCCAGGTATAAACGCTGACCTGTTATAAAAGGATTCCCCTCCTTATTCCCTTTTTCTCTGGAAATGCTAATGTGTGGATAATGTGCAGTTCAGTTGTCTGTGTCGGAGCGGCTTTCTTGTCCTCTTCTAACCCCGATCTTCCCATTAAGTTTATATCCCCAATTGTCTGTGCATTAACTTCTCTGTCAAATGATATATAGAGCTTCATTCTTAATCTGCGGAGAGAGTCTTTCTTATGATATGTGAGATTGGTCATGCCACTCTTTCTCATACATCTAAACGAAGCTTTGCTCTACTTCTCCCCAGGCAATACTCTGGATGAAAGATTCTCTTTTTTCCATTTTACTTTCTATTCGGCTTGCCAGCAACATCCACATAAAAGAGCACTACTTCGAAACAGCAAACAGAAAAGGACTATAAAAAGGGCCACTTTTTATTCCAAGGTGGAATTTTGTGTTTTGTGACCCAACGGTCAGACGGGTCCATCTGCGGATAAGACAAAGCCCTGCCTTTACTCAGGCACATCTCTCACGGACTCCGCTGCGAGTTTTACCTGATCCTCAACTCCCGAGTTTTGGCTGAGGGGGCCCCTGCACCCACTTACCAAAGTCATTTTTGCAGAGGTTTTCCACGATGTCATTATCGTCTTCATTTTTGTTTTTGCAGGCATCGCAGACCTTGGGTGCTGGAAACGCAAGGGACAGTCCCGGTCAGGCTCGGGGAGACGGGAACAGCAGGTGGCGTTGGGAACCCGCCGGGAAGGGCCGGTTTTCCATCCATCCATCCATCCATCCATC